CGGCACGAGAGGAAAGCGGGCGCGGAGGGAGGAGGAAAAAGCAAGTTGGGCACCAGCCCGCAGTGGAAGGGAAGCTGCTCCCCCCCCCCCCGGACCCGTTTTCCCAGCCAGCAGGGCCCTTTTCAGCGTTTAGGAAGAGGTATTTAGGGCGGGGAGGCTTCAACTCTGACCGTGGAGCACCCTCCCCGGACACCAGGTTGGGCCAGCCAGGATGGGGGCCCAACGTTTGAGCTTTGCAAGAGCATTTTGTGGTTGGAGGACTCCTCTCTGACATCCCAAAGAAAGCGGCACGAGGGGGCCGGCCACCTTCCAGCCCTTCCGCTGGGTGATCACAAGCTAACTCAGAGGTAAATCTTTCTTGAGAAGGTCCACCACAAAACAGACCTGAGTCAGACACGATCGCCCGCCACAGGTTACGTGACCCCAGGAGGCCATGGCAGGGCAGCCCACCATCGTGAACACACAAGCCCAAGCCAGGGGCAGCTGGGGCCCCTCATGCTGCCCAGAGCTGGGCTGTTTAACCCTCTGATGAGCCCCACAGCCAAGTCGGAACAAGAAGTCGCAGCCTGGTAGAGATCTTCCATATGTTTAGGAAAAGTGTTTATGTAAAGTTACCTTTATTACAGGCAATATTGGTCCATACAATACACAATACTGACATACAAGTGGAATCTTTCAAATTCATCATTTAAACAGCAAAGACCAAGAAACAGAATTTTTAACTACTTGATTTTCAAAAAAAGTAATACGTGTGTTTCTTCCAAGATCCTTTTCAGTAAGTTATATTGAAACATACAAATAGAGAAAAATACCCCATTCAACATATATTGTAGTTAAATGGTTATTTTGCTTAAAATCTTTTTAATAAGAAAATCCTTTATTAAGCAACCTACATAGAGATAAATAGCAAACTTGTTTTAAACAAATCCTCTCCATTAAAACATCTGAAGAATTTCCATCCATCATTTTCTTCTGAGCCCGAGACATCTGTTTTAAGAAGCTTACCTTTAAAAGTTTTCAGCTGAAGGACCAACACCAGGGCCTTCCTGGGCATTACAACGCCACCCTCCGGTTATTTTCCAACTTTCTTCTGTCCAACAGAAGGCGAATAACCACGTAAGACTTCAGGCTGCGTTTTTATTATGACTCCACCGTTCTGTTTCATGAGAGCACAGACAGACCTGCCGACTCCTACCCCCCTACACATCTACTACATTTTGTTCTTCAGGAGGAACAATACAGGCCAATAAAAGCAGAAAATCTGCAGCTTCTGTCACATGCTTTGGATTATTGTCAGATTCTGATTTTATGCTTCCATCTGGCAACACAAATTCATTGTTATAGTGTTAGTTTAAATCTTTAAACAAAAAACTATATTTTCCAAAGTCATTATCATTGGGAGCAATCAAGTGGTCTTTTCGGGCTTTGCTGAACTTCATTCTTAGAACGTGTCTCCGTTCCTCCCACTCGCGGAGCTCAGCGGGTCCGTGTGCAAATTTACAGTTGTTTCCCTCTACACAAGTACCAGCCATATATCTGTTTAAGAAAGAGCAAAGGGGCAGTGAGGAACGGCCTGCACTCGGGCCAACAGGTGCTTGCAGAAGCGGTGGGCTGCACAGACACAGCTCCCTCGGATACCCTTTCCGACACTCACTCCCCTGGGAATTCTGCAACCTGACTTATCTGCTGCACGTCTGAGCTAATCCTGCTACAGAACTGAAGGAGGCAGGCAGGAGAGCGCTCTGTGGGTTCTTGAGGAACTCCGCTTACAGCCATGCGTCAAAACTCGGCCATGCCCTGCTGCTGAGAGGGGAAGCGCAAACACAGGCTGCCCAAGACAGACCCCCTGGAGGAAAGAACGGCCCCCTGGGCCACCACGTGTCGTGATAAGAAATGAGACACCCGCAAGCCTGTTCTACCGCTGTGGGGAAGCTACTCAGATAGAATATGACAAAATGGACCACCGGCTATTGGCCTCCAGTGCCGGAAAGCAGGAGCTGGCTCTGCAGGCCAGGGGCCCACCAGAGGCCCCTCGGCACTGGCCACGCCGGCTAAGCCCGATGGCGGTGGCGGCCCTCCAGACGACAAGTTCTGGACCACAAGCTGCCCATTTCTGCTCCGCAGGGAGTCTCGGCGTGGCGCTGGTTCCTGGCTGGCCGCATGTACTTCCCAAGTTGCCAAAAGACACCCACCTATCGCAGAGACTGAAGCAACCCGTTGGAAAGCGATGCTGCCAGCGGTTTTGGTCATCTTCCGTATGGAATACTTTCTCTTTATGCTTCTCCGAGGAGATGTGGCCCTGCCACTGCTTCTCGCTGTTGCAGTTCTTCCCACACATCCAGCAGTGGAAGTCCACCTGGTCCGCAAACACAAGCACCGATCGGCCGTGGCCGGGGGGCCTCAGGCCACGCGCACCTCCCGCACCTGAACGCCGGTGCGGAGCCCCCGCTGCAGCTGAGCGGGGAGCAGCAGGCGAGGTGGTGACGGCAGCCGCAGAGAGACCAGGACTGTCCCACCGACTGCCTCTCGGTTCTAGTCTCCGCCAGCCTCACTCAAGGTGGGACTAGTGGGAAGCGGGGAAACGGGGAAGAGGCGCCTCTGCACAGGCACAGCCACGCACGCGCGCATGCGGCGCCAGGGGTGGGGGCGGGGGGACGTCCTCGACGCCCAGTTAAACACGCACTGGGCCTTTGTCAACTCCATCCTTCCACGGCCTGCATCAGACACCGTTCCCACGATTCCCAAAGGAGCTGATCAAGGAATGCCCGTTTCGGCAACAACGGAGTTGGCAGAGAACGTATCTTATTTTGCCGGGCAATTTTTGTCTATTTAGTTTTTACAACAATGGAAATGAGAGTTGGTGTAAGTCCCCAGGCTCAGCCGGACTCCTCCGAGTCAGCTGGGCTCAGCAGAACTGCAGAAGGCACCGCGACGGTCCCCGGAAGGGGCACGGCACAGAACGGCCCGCGGCAAGCACCTGGGCCAGGTCTGCTGCTCTCGGGGGGCGGTTCTCTTGGCACGACTCCCTTTCATCCCACGGCTGCAGCTGCGGGAGCAGGACCTGGCCTAAGCGGGCACACCCATCCTCTTGAAATATGGACCTCCCCACTTCCGGGCCCCTGCCTGGACTGTGAGATCTCGGTCTGGCCCGCTCCCTCGGTTTCCTGGGACCAAAGCACAGCCCAGCGCTTCTCTGGCACCAAAGAGAAAGATGCCAGAGGCCAAGGGAGCTGCTGGGTGCCCGCGACTTACGGTAACTTCAGCATAGTCTGTCGGCATGTGGATTTGCTTCCCGTTTTCCTTGTTTGCTTGGGCGGCCGGCTCCTCCCCCTTCTCTGGCTTTTGGCTCTTCAGCCACATTTCATATAACTGCTCCACGTCTTGAACTAAGTGAGAGCAGAAATGGAGATCAGTTTGCAGCAATTACAACAGGAGCGAGCAAACTAAGCAGGCAGGTATCAAGGTCTCAGTAAATAAGGGTATTCCTAAAGGAAAAAGGCCAAGGACGCTTCTCACTGCAAACGCTTCAGGTGTGCAAACTCGGGTAGTCACTCCTGGTCAGCACAGGAACCCTGAAGCCCTGCCGGAGGAGGAGGAAGGTGTACAGTGTGGACATCCTGGAACGGAAGGCAAGGGGGCTTGTATCCCTTCCAGCTGCCCTAAGCTGCTGCACCTCTTTTGCTGTTGTTCACCGTACCTCAGGCTGGCGTTCTGTTCGGCACAGAGCTGCCCAGTCATCTGCAGATGCTTTTAACTTTATAGCCAAGCGACATAAACAAATGCAAAATGACTCTCTGAAAAGGTTTTAAGACAGAAGGAACACCTGACCATCTGTGCAGGGTTGACTGCCCTCTGCTACTCTCTCCGCCAAACACACAGAGCATGTAATCTCTACTTGTCATGGAAAAGCTTCATGAAAAGAGAAAGTGCAGGAAGAACTGGAGAACCACAACTGTTTCCACCTTTTAAAAAGGGGGTTTCTTGTCCTCACTGAGACAGTATGGCTGGGTATGCAAACAGCTGGAAAACAAGCATTTTTGTTTGGCTGAGGAGATAAGACCCTCTGGGCAGCATCCACACTGAGCTACAAAGAAGCCGCGAGCAGCCTGACTCAGACGAACTGGCAGGTCACCGCTTAGGAGGCTGTCTCTGCATTCGCTGTTCTTCTGCCTTAACTACCCAGAGCACCAGCTTCGTTCTTGCTTGCTCTGACACAGCGGGGTCACCGCCATCAGAGCAAGCTCTGCACTCAAGAAACATAATGCAAAGCTCCTATATCAGAGCACGGAAATGGCTTTTCCTGCATTAGGGCTTGATTTTAGGACAGTTGCAAGCAAGGCCGAAAAATACTCTAGAAAACAGAGGTGAACAGGAGATGCCTGAAGGAGGTAAAAGAGGTCAGAATGCCAACAGAGTCAGAGAGAGCTTTGTGCATCGTTTTCGCGTACTTACTGCCATTCTCCTTCATATAAGTCCACATTTCCCGCTCTTCGTGACTGTGAGCAAAGGAGCAATTGCCTACATACTGACATTTCTTGCCCGATGCAATGTGGTTGCACAGCTAGGTAGAAAGAGAAACACGCTGAAGTCAGATCAGCTGCATTCTATACGAAGGGAACTTGAGGGCCACGGGAAGAGCAGCAGGTGACTCTGGGGGCACAAACAGGTATCACATGGGAGCAAGGTAACCGGCTAGTGTGTTTGGGGGATCATGCTCATCCCGTTGATGGATTCTAGGGCATCGCCGCGGTGATCCAAGGTTGGCAAGGCTTCCACTGGCGTGCTTGGCTTTGGAGAGGCCCATCATCCACGGCAGTGGAAGGACTTTGCGACAGGGCTGTGCGGAAAGGGGGCTCCTGCCCCCTCAAGGGGAAGGCAGGGTGCCGCAGAAGCACCAACCCCAGGCCCGGCCACGGTGAACCCTCACAGACGCAAAGCATTGTGACGCAAAATTGCAACATCAACGCTTCCCACGCATTCCCCAGACCGCCTGGCCTCAGGAGAGCCGTACGACGGACACGGGCAGAAGACGACCCCGACTCTACGGATATGCTCACATCGAACTGCAAGGGCGCCTGCTTCTTGGTGGGAAGCGGGCGGATGGTATTCCACTTTTTGCGCTCGTTGGACATGACCAGGGTCACCCGGCGATCCTTGGTCCACCTGAAAGGCACGGCACCACTGAGACGGAACTGCTTTGACCTGGCTGCCCGTCATGGCCGCCTCAGAGGGAGCCGCACGCCGACTCCACTCAAGCCGCTCCTGCAGCACCACTTTGCACCAAGCGCTCCGCCAACCAGCGGGCTGGGAGGAGTTCCAGTGGACTCAAACCTCCTCAAGGCATCCCCGGCCGTGCAAAAGGCCCTGCTCACCTCCCGGCCATCCAGAGGAGACACGCTCCAAGGCCCACGCAGGGCGCTCCCCCGGCCCAGCGGTTCCTCACCGGCGGACAACCGCGAGCGCTCCCACGCGCACCCAAGACGGCCGCGTCAAGAGGAGGGAGCAGCCACGTCACTTACGGGTGCCTGGCTTTCGCGCTGCAGTACTTTTTGTTTCTGTCCGGCTCGCTGACTTGTCCATTCCTCCAGCACTGGGCACACACAAACTTCATCTTCAGATTCAGAGATCCGTGCTTCACTGGGTTGCTGAGAATCTTGAAAGAGAGAGCAAAACGCCGGGCAGCTGAGGCTTCCTCCCACACACCCCAAACAGCCACAAAGACGGGTTGCCCGTACGGGCTGCCTTCTCCCACATGAACCTGCCCGAAACATGAGATCTATGTTAGAGGTTCTTTTCCGGATCCCTACAGCAGAAGAGATGAGGTGAGCTGGGGGGCATTTAATTTTGTTTCAGGTAAGAGTAGCAAAGAGATGCTTCAAGTAAATGAAAACAGGCAGCCACATGATGCTGCCAATGTGTCTGCACATGACAGCCCACCATTGGCTATTTAATGCACAGGGAGACGGTGGCGCCCCTGGCCACCACTGCCTCTCCGACCCCTGCGTGCCCACGTTCACACAGTCTGCCCAACACAAGCCCCAAGTGGGTGCTGGAGACGCATGCCTGGGGCTCATCACGGGGCAAATGACACACAGCGAGCCGCACCACATCATGCAGACCCTGCCAGGATGTGCATGTGTGACGTGACATCTTTTGGTCTGGGTGGGGCAAACCGTGTGCTCTGAAAGTGATGTGAACGCCCTTCGCCTCCAACGGCACAGTGATGCTCCGAAGCGCCGCGCATTCTGAAACACAAGCGCCCCCCGAGCGGCACCTGCGCACTGGCTCTGAGACCGAGCGGGTTTCAAAAGTGGCTGGCGATGTGACATGGAAGTCCCCTGCGGAGGGGCATGAGCCCCCCGATGACCCAGCCAGCAACTGAAAGCACCTGTCTGAAGACGATCCTGCCTTGGTCAGCCTTTTGCAAATAGAAACACGGGAAGTTGCAAGTCCAAGATTAGCTTGCTGCAGCTTCACTCGCGGCCTCCCAGCAGGGGCCCAGCAGAGGTCGGCTCGCTAAAATTCAGAGCGTTTTTGTCACCAGTGGGAGAGAACTTCAACATGCAGAAGCACCTTTCGGCGGGCAGACTGAACTACACAGAGGGGAGCGGCAGTCAGCGTTTGGCTGTTCATCGAAGAAACGAGCTCCCTGTGCCCTCCACTGACCGACTCAAATCCGGGGGGCTGAGGCACAACGCAACTCCTGGGCAGCACCTTCGTCAAGGAAGCTGCCAAACGTCAACGAGGCCTGCGTGGACCACTCCGAGGGGCCGCGGCTCTCCTGGCGCCCTCTCTGAAGGCTTAGGGATGCCAGGACTGAATCCCAGACTTCCTGCACGCAGAGCAGGCGCTCCCCTTGGGGCTACGCTGGGTGCTTCACGAGGCGAGCTGAGAGAAATACCTGTGCTCCATGTGCATTAGACTCCATATTCTGCCAATATTTTTTCGATTCTTGAACAATAGCCTCATGAGAAATACCTGTGGTGAGGGAGACACACATCTTAGGCAATTGCGGCGTTGCCAACCTTTGCACAAGCACCGGCGAGCCCTTCAAGGCTGTCGTTTCACGATCATTTCAACACTGGACAACAATTTTCAGAAGGTAATCTAGAGTTGCAGCCACTGGGGCCTATTCTTGGATGACAGCCCAACAAGGCCAAGTCGCAACATCCTTAAAAAGATGGGGCAAAGCTTGGCTCGCTTATTTCTTGTCACAAAGCAACTGCACCTCACAAACACACACGCGGGGAATGGCTTTACGCGTGTTCAGGCTGAAAAAGGCCCTACAAGTCTCGGGAAGGCCAGGGGGCTGCAGGACTTTCTTCTGACCAAACACCTGGAAGAGCCTGCTTTTAAGGAACCTTAGTGCCCGCCTCTGCTGTGCTGAAGCGTGCGGGATTTCACAGCCCCCGGGGTCTGCCTGGGAAGGCCCCTCCCTAACGCCAGAGGATCTAAGACGGGGCATGTTTGTTCCCTGCTGGACAACCGCTCTGCCCACACGGAGGGGCATTTCTGTAGTGCTGCTCCACCAGTCCCTGCACCAGATCTCACCTGTCTTATTCTGCATCATCCACACCTGGAGCTCCACAAGGCTGTGGGCATAGAAGCACTCGTCGTCCCGGGAACAGCCGTAGCGCACTTCATGCCGGCACAGGTCTAGCTGGCACTGAGGATGGAAAGGCCGGATCTTGGAATACTTCACCGTTGTTTCTCGCAAAATATGAACAAGGCACCTGTTTGATTCAGTTTAAAAAGGTCGAGAGTGAGTCGAGAAAAGTTGCGAGAAGCTCTTCCAACACTTTTGCTCATGGACGGATGAGGCGCCACAGTCAGGCACCTCTGCTTTCCAGGCTCCACCTGGAAGAGCAGAAATGGCCGCCAGCCCTCACCCATCGCTCCACCACTTGCCTGCAACCCGCCCAAACCAAAGTCTGCATCATCAGTTGCAACCTGGGGAAGGCTGGGAGTTGTGAGGCATGCTGGGAGTTTATTTCTATAGGGGAGTGCATCCTGAAATGCATAGGATTACATCCTGAAATGTTTAAGTATCTCAGTCTGAATGCCTTAAACGCCTTCACACAGCAGCACACATGCACAGACGCGCTTTAAGGCAGCCGAAAACCGATGCACCGTTGGCCTACCGCAGAGATGGGGGAAGGAGCAGATCATGAGCGCTCCGCGGCTGCCGGGTGTGTGCGTGCGTGCGTGCGAGGGGAAAGGTCCAGCTGCTCAGCCTTGGCCAGGAAACACCTCCAGCGCTACAAAGCGGCTGTTGCAGCATCTCACGCCGGATGACGCAGAGCCACCTTCTAACATGCGAAACAATTTTGTCTGTGTGGCCAAAGGCCTTCTCCTGTCAACAGCAGCTCTCCAGGGGCTTGCAGAGAGAAGGGCTTCTCCCCTTTCCTGCAACCTGAGTTTTCATTTTAACTCCTGATGTTGAAACAAGGCTTAATTAAGCCTGTGCTTTCTGCATGCAGAGCAGGAGCTTGGCCGCTGCACCACGACTCCTCCCCGACTTTGTGGCAGGGGAAACACACCGAGTGTGTTTCATGTCTGCAAAACCACCTCCCCACCAAAACCTAAACCCAGCAGTAGCTCTCCCAAAGTTTTGGAAAGCTGGCAACAAATCAAATGTAGAAATGCAGCTCTCTCTGTGGCTGTTCAGGAGCAAGCTGGTTCTCGCCCATCCCCCCTCAACTGCTGGGCTGCTACACTTACGTCTGAACCTGGAAACTCTGGGTTGGCTTAGCGGTTAAATAGCCCAGAGTTAACTTTGGCACTCCTGCATCACTCAGAAAAGCCGAAGCTGGGATGCCGTGTGGTTGCCGGCCACCCTGTGGCCAGAACTTATGCGGAATTTAACAACCCAACTGTTAGGCATGACATATAAACAGTACTGAGCGACTAGGAAGATCATCAGACTGGACACAGTCCAGCAACTGTTTCTAAGCCATCCATCTAGACTAGTGGGCGGCACACAATTTTTTAAAAAACGCAGCACCAGGCTGTGATGCTTCCCCTGAAGGAAATACAGCCGGCCCACAGTGGCCGGTGACTCGGACCCAGGAGGATCGCTGACCACAGAAATGCGTGAAAGGCCCCATTGCACTGCTTCACGTCTGTGTTGTCGCTACGGCTAAAACAAAGCGGTTGCAAAAAAGCGGAGAATTCAGAGTGTGTGCCGCACGCACACGCAAACTTTATAGATCGAGACATCTCTGAAATCCAAGACAAGAGACTTTCACGTACTTGTTATCTTCAAAGTCATGCATAGCAGGGTGAGAACAGGAAGATGAGTTATCCTTATTCCTTTTGCTTATTATTCTGGGTTTATGCTCAAAACATTTCTGAAATACAAAACCAGAGCCCTTTAAGCACAGGAAAAGAACTGAGCCCAAGTTCGTTAGCATTGCTCCCTGAGCCGGAAGCGCAAGTTCTGAGCACTGACAGGGCTGGAGCGAAAAGGCGTCCACTGAAAAAGGGAAGGGAGGCCTGAGCACACCTTGGGGGGCACTGTGCCTTTTTAACACACGCACACCTGCAAACAGGTACCATCGGACGCTGGGAGTCAGCTAGGAAAGAGGCAAGAAAGGAGGCAGGCGCGAGCCTCTTGAGGGGACTGGCTGGCACCCGGGCTTGCCCACTCCTGCGTGGATGAAGGGTGCCAAGCCGTCTTGCATGCCCACCTTTAATGGCAACCTCCGTTGCGTGCCTGCGAGTTTGAAACGGGGTCGCTCAAAATAAAAGAGGCTGCTGCATGTAGGGGGCTCCCCAGAGGATGCAGAAGGAAATTCAAGGAAAGGCAAAAGCTGCTTGGTGCGGCTCCGAGCGCTGACGTAACGCTGGCAGCGTTTAAGCCTATACAGAGGTTGCTGCAGGGTCCAAACACAAGTCGGGTGTCTGGCAGCCAGGCAGGCCCTCTCCCCGTTAGGTCTGTGGCCGAGATCGGCTCAGACACGGGATGCCTGCGCGCCAGTCGAGAACAGCAAAAGCGGAAACGGAGGGTGGGGAATAGGAGGACGTGGCCAGCTCCAGGGCCCCGAAGCGTCTCACACCGGTCCTGGAGGGGACGTGGGTCCACGCATCCCCCCGGGGCAAAGCTCTAAATCCTCAGGTTCGGGACTGGCAGCCCACCCCAGCGGGGCGACCTTCCCCCGCTCCCCACTCTCGAAATGCCCCCGACTCGCAAAGCCCGAGCAGCCTCATAGGAGGCGCGAGAGCCATTCCGGGAGTCTGCAGCAGGTCCCCGCGAGAGACCGGGGAGAAGCACCGGAGGGCGCAGGGGGCGCTTGCAGCACAAGCCCCGCCCCACCCTGCCCGCGAGCTCCACCGAGGAGAGCTGCCCCGGCCGGCCGGGCGCCGCACCCCCCGCTCTGCCAACCGAACGCCAGGGAAGCACCTCGCAAAGAAACATGAACAGTCCGCGGTGCTCCTGAAGGAGTCGGGACACGGTCAGGTTGATCTCCCCGCTGCCCTCGAAGAGCGCTTCGCGGCTGAACGCCCCCTTGCGCTCCAGAGTCCACACATCGATCTCCTCTTGGCAGTACGCAAAGGTGCAGTGGCCAGAATACCGACACTCTTCTCCGGCTGCGACATCTAGAACAGGGCAGGGCGGCAGAAAGTGACCCAGGAGAAGCCTGCCTGGGCCACGACCCCTCTCCCTCTGTGGGGCAGACGGGCACTGTCGCCATCCCAGTATCCACGCCACGGGGAGAGTCCGAAAGCGCAGGCGACCGAGTTGCTCCACGTCAACAGACTGGCTCCAGCACTGTCCGTCTCCAGCAGGAGCGGGGCTGCTTTCAAGAGGCGGGGTCTTCGAGTCCAGGCTGCCCCAAATACTTCGCACTACTAAAGGGACTGGATCCTCCCAGCCACGTCAGTGGGGACAGGGAAGGGCAAGGGGCGTGGCCCAGGGTGCCAGCATCCCTGACCATAAAGGGTCAGCACAGGGGTGCCTGCCAGCCCAGCATCCACAGCCCCAGCAGCGGGACAGCAAAGAGGAGCGGGCTCGTCCGTGTACAAGGCCCTTATCTTTAACGACCCCAAAAATGTAACACAACTCAGGCACCAAATCGGGGCACCTGCAGTCGATCTGCTGGCTCGCCACTCAGTTCCCCACCAGAGAAATGGGACCATCCCGCTGCTTCCCAGGAGCAGCTGCAAGAACGACGGAAACACGGCTTCCCACCCGGAGTCTTGCGGAAAAGATGCCCTGTCAATGCATGCATCCCAGAGAGAAAGCCCTTACCTTTACATATATAATATGGTCCCACATACTGTGTTTTTGTCGGCCTTGGCCTTATTTTTTTCCACGATTTATCTTCAGAGCTCTTTATTCTACCTATTAAAATATCCTTCTTACAGATGTGCTCCAGATTGGGATGGTATGTATAATCCCATAATTTTGGATCTGTAAGAAATGGGGAGTAGGTTAAAATGGCAGCTTTCTCATGCCAACTCTGCCATCAGCCGTGGAACCACATCAAGACAAACCCAACCTTGGTCAAGCCAAGCCTCTTCTCTGCATTCACACGCTGGAAGAGCCACCTCAGCAACTGCGTTTGAACAGCTTCTGTTTAGTCCTGACTTTAGCCTGTCAGCCTTTTTTTCCAGTTCATCCAGAGAGGGAAGTCTTGCACTTGGTGGGACATCAATTCTGCACCAACCCACCACTTGGGAACCCCACTTTAAGGCCCGGTTACTCAATGTTCCAGTTTAATAATCCAGCGCGGATTTCCCCCTTTGTCGATTTCACTCCGACGTCTCTGGGGCACGGCAGGTGCCTGGGGGACAGGTGAAGGGCCCAGCCAGCCCAGCCCTGGGAATGGGGAGGCGCTGCAGCCTCCTGAGGGCGCAGACTTGGAAATGGGCGGTGTTCAGAGGGGGGCTCCCACTGCCTGATGAGGCAGCCCCGTTCGTCAGGCGCACCATCGCAGGGGGGCCCGATTCGGGGCACAGTGCGAGGAGGGAAGGCGTGCCCGGCTCTGCAGTACCGCTCGCCCAGAAAGGGACACAGAAGGATTCGCGACGAAAGTTTTTGGTAAAGAATGTCAGAAAGGGCTCCACATTTCACTCTGCGTATGCTCAGAGGCTGGACTGTAATAATAAAGGCTTCTGGCAAAGAAACGCTGGCGAGACTGATACTGCTGGCGGGGAGCAGCACAGCTCACAACACTTCTCTAAAAAATACTATTTCACTCGCCGTGAGCAAAGTCGCTCAAGCAGAAGGAAGGAGCTACTTTAGCGCCTTTGGTAAAGACAGGCGACTAAACCTTCGCGTCCATTTGGTCTGCGCTTTTGTGCCTCAAGCACGCCATTGCGGGACAAGCTGCCCAAGAAAGGAGGCGCAGACCGTGGCGGCGCCTTCAGGACCGCGGGTAATTTTGAGCCCCGCTCTACTCAAGCACGGCTAGCGACGCAGCGTTGCCGCTGTCGCAGCTGCCACCTCCCAGCCCTCTCCCCCCGCCACGCCTCACCTTTTTTAACGAAGCACAACTGGCAGGCCTGTCTTAGCTCATGCGTGCCTTCCAGGGGGTTCCTTGTGACTAAGGGTGACGTTGTGGACATGGGAACGTTAGCGGGGCCCCCACCGAACACACAGGAATAGTCATTGCGCGCCGGACTTGAAATCCCCACATAGTTCTCAGACCCAAACAAGCTCGTGGGACCATTCATCTGTTGGAAGAAAGAGGCAGTTTCTGAAGAATGGCCATCCCGCTGCTGTTGCTAGCTACGTTTTTATCCTGCCCCTCCTCCAGGGAGACCGGGGCGGTGGGCCTGGTGCCTCCCACCCCTTTTATCTGCACGATGACTCTGCAAGGCAGGCCTCACTGAGACAGCGGCTGGCCCAGAGCCACCCAGCAAGCGACCGGCGTGGTCCGAGCCCACTTCACACTCTATTTGGAGACTACGATTCCAATCAAAACCGCGAAACATTCTCACGACAGGGGGAAAAGCTTCGGAAGGCATCACTGCTGCCATTTATTGGTTAGGGAAGCTTGGCGTGGTACTTACAAGCCGAAGAGGGGAACTGCTGCTTAACGTGGAGGTGACATCTCTAGAAATGGAGCCGGAGGCGTCCACTGGGATGAAGAATACCACGAGTTAGTGTGCAGCACATTCCACAGGTAGGCAGAGAGACGGGCCTTTCCTCGCACAGCAAGGCACCCTCCTCTGATGCAAGGCTTTTGCACACTAATAGTGCAAGGAGGCGGGGGGAACCCGTATCGGAGGCACACGCCCCTCCAGCCGCCAGGGCGGAGGGCAGTCCCCCAGCTCTCAGCCCCGGGGGGATCTTCCCCAGAGGGGAGACACAGGCCAGTGGGGAGAAAGGAAGGATCGCTGCTGCTCCGCAAGCACACCCCTAAACTCTGGGAAGGTTCAGGGCCTGGAAGGCCTGGATTCTCTGGACGAGCTCTCCCCCGCTGGAAGACACCCACGCCTCCTTCCGGGAGAAACGCGTGTCCGAGGACAGGCGCCCGCCTCTCTCGGGGACTGCTGTGCCGAAGGGCCTGCAAGCACTCCGCTGCACTCAAGGGACAGATCCTGTCAGACGAGGGCAGCCCAGCACGATGCCCCTATCCAGGCCCCTTTCCAGAAGCGGGGCTGCTTGCTTCCCCGCAAGACCCCTCTTACCTCTTTTGGAATCGTTGATTGAGAAAGTACTTAAAGAGGAGCAGAAGCTGTCCAGGACAGAAACCAAGGGCTGGGAGTACATTTCAGAAAAAGAAGCCGTGGGGACAAATCCAGCTCCGACGGACAACGTCCCAAGCAAAGGGGCAGAGAAGGACAAACTGGGAGCGACGGTAGCCGTGGGGATGGCTCCTCGGACGACTGTGCCGGGCTGGGGGCAGGGAGGGAGGCATCTCAGATGCGGCCAGGAGGTCCCTCGCTTTCAGCACCCAGGCCGCCCACTCTTGGCTTGCTTTGTTCACAGGTCGCTTCACGAAAGTGTAAGCAAGTGTAACCTTTGCGACACATACGTGTTCGAAGAGCCGGCCGCCACCACGGGCATCCTCTTGGGCCTTCCGAACCAAACCAGCTTGGAGCTGGTCTGTTCGGACACGGCGTCCGCCCCCTCCCACGGGCAGGGACCGCACACTCTTGCTCCGAGCGTGGCTCCGGTTCCAGTCTGGTGGCACGTCCTGTCTGGGGAGGGGCGGGTGGAGTGGCCAGGCCGTGCCTGGCATGCGAAGATCCCCCAGGGTCCGGTGGGGGGCGGGGCTGTGGAGCAGCCTTCTCCTGCCGAGACCCACCAGACCAGTCATAGCGGGGAGCCCTAGGTGGGCTCCTCCTGCCAGGTGCCAGAGACCACCCAGTGCCTTGAGATGCTCCCAGAGACTCCAAGCTGCAGAAACCCGAGGACCCGAAGAGCTGCTCCCAACAGACAATGCTGGGCTCATTCTAGCAAGAGCGTGCCACTGTACGAGGCTGCTTCCCAGGGCAGGGCCACTCTCGGCCGCAAAACCCAAGGGAGCACATCCAGAAGCCGGCAAGCACAGGCCCGGGAAGGCTTGCGAGACACGCGCTGCCGTCCGGGACATCCAGTATCGCAAGCATTCCTGAACGTGCTTCCCAGAGTCCAGCAGCCTCGGCAGCGTGGCTGGCGCTTCTCTGCAAGGAGTTCCACGGCAGGGGCGCACGCCAATCTGAGGCAGCTTCAAAGTGCAGCAAAGGGGTGCCAGTCGCCAGAGCGGGACCTGTGCCCGTGACGCACTGCCTCCTGCCTGCCTTGGGGTGCTACAACCTGCACGGAAAACCAGATGCCGAGGACCAGCCCTCACGGAAGGGCCCCGGGCAGCAAGGAGCACAGCCCGAGGCACAGGGCTGGAGGCGGCCACGCGCAGGCTCCCCAAGGGGTTCGGTGGAGCCTCAGCCCTTTCACAGCAGGGGCGCGGACTCACCAGGATGCTGCCAGCAGGGCCCGGAGCCGCCGAATCGAGCAACTCATCCAGCTCCTCTCCAAGAATGTCGTCCGCGTCCCCGCAGTCCAAGCCGCCGCCGGGGAAAGACCCCCCGTTGGCCAGCGAGGTGGCCGGGTGAAGACTCTTCTCCGCCGGGATGGTCACCCGAGGCGTCATTAGCAGTGGGGTCAGGTTGCTTGGCAACTTAGGAGCAAGACCGGAAGCGGGGCAGGAGGGGGAGGGCAGTATCTTTTCCTTCCAACTGGGAAAATCTGAAACAGATTTAGAGTCGGGAAAACAAGAGGAGCGCTCAGAGGCCCGGACGACTCACCCAGCAGCAGACTAGGAAGCAGGGGTGCGAGCTGCCGCTTTCCCCGAGCCTCACGGCATCACCCTTAGGCCCGCCTTCCAGTCAGTGGGGTACCCTAAGTCGTGTGCCATTTGCCAGAGTTCAAGGGAAACAGATCGCCCCCAAATGCTAGACACGCAGAGCGTAAAGGGCAGCATTCCGAGTCCTCCTTCCACAAAGAGCTCCCCTCACGCAGGCGGGGGGGCCTTTCGAGTGCCGCGAGGCCGCGAGTGCCCCTCACAGGATCACGGGGCAAGCCAGCCAAGCCTCCCCCGGCCTCCTGCCAACGGCCACACTCTACTCAGTCCCAAGGTCTGAAAGGGGAACACCGGCACGTGGTCTGGATAACGTGCGAAGGGAGCACATACATGTCAGCTCCGCGCCCAAAAGGAGGCAACGGCTGCAAAAGAGGAAAGGGCCGGGCAGCGAGCGCCTAGCAAACACGGCCCTCCAAGCAGCGTGCGTGGTGCAGTGAGGGAAGCACAGCCAGGAACGCGTGGCAGGAGGCCTTCCGAGGAAGCATCCTCCAGCAGCAGGTAAAGCCGAGCTCTTTTTGCCGCTTCTGCTGGGGAGCTAAAGCAGCGGCCACCTACACTCTTGGAGGGGACAACGCACTCCCTCTCAGCGCAGAAACACGGATCGAGCGCTGTGGGGATCCACGGGAGGATGGAAAAGTAGGCAAGCGTAGAGACTCTAAGTCGATCTCCACAAAATAAACCTGACAACGCCAGGCAGAGCGAGAGCTGCTAAGTGGCACTTCCCCCTTCAGTCCAGGAAGCCTCACCTGATTCAATATCTTCTATAGAAGTACTGGAACTCTGCAAGCAAGTGGAAGATTCATCATCAGGAAGTTTGCACAGCAAATAACTTGGGCAGACGTGTTTCTTTTAAGATGTATGCCTTTAAAACATCTAATAAATGCTGTAAGCCTAGACCAAACATTACAGCAACGCGAGCCCAAAGACACAGAGTGAGTGCTGCTGGGGTCAAAGGTGAAACTCTATCATCGCGGCACTTCCTTATCTCGGTTATGAAGAACGAGCCGCGGCTTGCAATTCTCTGGCAAGGGCTGCGCTAAACCCCAGCAAAGGCCATTCAGGCGACATGTGTAGGGCAGGCAAAACGCGGGCATTCCAGGGGCTCCCCCCGAGGCTAGGCACATTCCCACTTTACCGACAGGACAGTGGCTGTGGCAAAAGCGCTCGGCTCAACCGAGAGGACACCACCCTCACCTTATTCGACGCGTCTCCAGATACAGAGCTGGGAGAAGGCTGAAACGAAGCACATCATCATAAATAGCTAGTAGAGGAGGGGGAGCTTTTCAAGCCAGTATATTCAGCGATGTCTACTTACCTTTGCCCTGACGTAGGCTTTTCTTATTTTTAATCCAAGTTTCTGCGCGAGCTCTTGGGTTAATTTTATTACACTTTCATCCTATTAGAAAAGAAAATCCCGAGTAAGGGTCTCCCGTGCATCAGGATTCTCAGGATTCTCGCGCAACAAACAGTGCGACACACACACGGTCCACTGTCGGCACCAGTGCCATCCTGGGACGCCGCCCACTGACTCCGTCCATCCTGGGCTCTGCGGGGCGCAAGGAGGGAGCGTCCGCGCCGAGTGACGGTACATGTGCTGCGAGATGTTACGTGTAGTACCGTGGTCTCACGGGCCTCCCCAGACTATTGCAATGGCGAATACTTGAATAGTGTGGCACTATTTCTTAGCAGGCCCACGAGGCGAGGTGCTCTCCTGCGCCTTACCCCCAAAACACACAAAGAGGAGGACCAGCGGACCCCGACACAACCTCCTTACTTGTGGCACTGCGAGGGAGCATTTAGCAACCGCATCATAAGCCTCTTTGTAGCGTCCCAGTTCTTTCAAGGCTTTGGATTTCCGGTAGAGTGCTCTGAAATTGTTTTCATTCAGTTTTAAAACTATCCCGCAGTCTTCTAGGACTCGGTCATGCAAGCCCTGTGCCAACAGACAAAGGAACAACCGGAATCAGTGGCAGAAGGGAAAAAATGGGCGAGGAGAGTTGGAGAGACTGCAGCCTGACTTCCTGGTGTACAGCACCAAAGCTGGCGGCCCGTTCCCCTCCCTGGCCCTCTAACGCTGGATCTTTATGATCCTATAAACCAACATCCTATGAAGCAAGACATCACTGGTATTTCATACGATGAAACCGCAAGCTAAGCCTTCCTTCTCCAACTTTTAACAATTAAGGATGAAGCAAGGATCTGAGAGCTTCCTCGGAATCAAATTTATATCCTCTTGGTGGATCACAGATTGACGTAAATGGCCTTTAATTACAAATTGTCACGCACTAGATCAGGAGAGGTAGGTCAGCAAGACGGTCAAACTGGCTCTGCTCCTTGGAACTGTCTCTCTCCTAGGCAACTCCACCTGGTCAATTAACATCCATGCACCTTCACGGAGAACTATACCTGAATTTCCTTTCTGCACCCCACTTATGTAGCATCTTTGCTGAATGCAAACCTGAGGGGGCTGCACTGTTCCTTCACATTTCAAACATGCAGTCTTCAGGTGCCTCTTGTAAAGGATTTCTTTAAAACAACATTTGGCTCAAGGTTGTCAGGAAAGGGAAGGATGCTAAGGAATATTTCAAATATCCACCTGAGCACTAATTTGCTCCATTGTTATCAACATGCCAATCCTACCAGGCGTATTAAAATGCAAGTGTTGTGTAGTTCCTACAGTGTACGCTGCACCTTTTTCATTAATTTATTATTATTATTATCATTATCATTATTATTATTATTTAGTACAAACATTTATATCCCGTCCTTCCAACAAGCGCTCAGGGTGGCTTACATTATATAAAATTACAATAATACAGTAATAAAACCACAATTATTAAGACAATATAAAACAGAACATCATGAACTAAGAAAAAAGAAAAGGGAGAGCTGGGAGCTGGCAGGCCCAGGCCAATGCCAGCTCCTCAGAAAGTACTACCTGGTCCCACCACTGCTACCTAGAGAAAAAAGAAACTCCTGGGCCCACCTCACGGCCTGGCAGCCTGCTCCTCTGGGAGCCTGGCGCCGCAGAAATTCAGGCCTTGACCAAGCCTCGAGCCAGTCATTCGCTCGCTTAATGCAGCACATACCTTCTCCGAATAACATGCAATGCGATTAATGTGCAATTTCTCTAATATTTCATCGGAAATGTGGATTCCCTCAGAGTTAGCATAATCAGCTATGCTTAAAGCTTCCGAGTAGTGGTTTAGCGATCCTTCCCAATCACTTTCTCGGTACGCATCGTTCCCCTCGTTGAAAAGATTTTTAACGAGCTCTCGTATGAATATCTGAAACACAAGAGGTTGATTCAGTGCCGAGAGGCAGACTCACACACACAAAACGTGTCAGTCGCATTGCACAACGGCACGCCTGCCTCTCTGTAAGCGGCAGCAGCAGCTGCCAACAAGGCAGTAGGTAAACAGGAGGTGGAGGCAGCAGAACCTGCTTGATGCGAGCTGCAGTTCGGGGGGGGGGGCAAAATGCCACGGCCCGCCAGGTGCCCCCTCGGCCGCACGTCTGCCTCGCGGCAAGAGGGGCTCTGCGATTTTCACCAGACTGGTCCGGCCGGCAGCTCTCCTGAGGAGCCCACCCAATTGGACACCCGGCACAGCTGCCTCGCACCCAGCTGGTGCAGCTGGTCTGTTCCCGCCACGGACAGCCTGGAGTCCCCCAGGCAACTCCTGCCGCTTCGACTGATTGGCCACTGTGAAGCAGCCACACTGAGGGCTTACGTGGGCAGGGGGCCTAAGAGGAACGTGAGCGCGTTTCGGAAGAGGCAAGAGATGCGCGGTCCCCCCCCCATGCAGTCCCCATGCCGCCGGAAGAGAGAGGAGCACGGTTACCTCATATTGTTCTTGAGTCCCTGGGTAGGGCAGAGTAGACCTGTGGGCAGCGGGGAGGGCAGAATCGGAAAGACAGGAGAGTCAGATCTTGCTCGGAGCTTGCTCAAAGCAGGCACGCAGCCAAGGGCCTCACAAGGCAGCCGGGAGGCTAAAAAGACGGCTTCTTTAACATTCCCAAAGGCTCTTCCCGGTGACTGGTCTGCCTCTGCGACCCCGACCCTCTCTAAATGTCACTTCCTGCAATTGCCCGAATGGATTCTGGCCCGTGAGACCTTAAGCCCAACGGCCTTCAGCACATCCCAGCAGAACACTGAATCGCTGGGGGTTTCCACGCCACAGGTGGAATCCCTGCCACCTAGTTCCCTGGAGTGCTTGTTGGTCTTTCTTACGTCTGAAGGGTGGCAGGAAGACCTGCTCCTGTGAATTTAGCACCTGCCTCTCTGGAAACCTCCACAAACATCAAAAACCACCACAGAAATTAATCAGCCCGGCAGAGGCCAAGTGGCCAGCAGAGTGAGCTCGGAGCCAGGAAAGATGCACTCCAAATCTCACCTTGGCCGCACACAGCTGTGGGGGCCTAAAGCAAGGCACAACCTTTTGACAAAAGCCTGCCCTGCAGAGCTGCTGAGGACTAAGAACATGCTGGTGAGGTTGCTGAAATAAAGCAGACATGGGCCAAGTATTTCATAGAAAGTTACACTATTTCAGAATATGCTTTTTTGTGAGAGAGGGAGGCCAGGTAAGCCAAGCTGCAGGGCTGAGCTGTTAATGTAAAGGATCTCAACTGTGTTTTGATCCTTACAGAAAGGTTACAGCTTTCAAGCATTATTTATACCTTCCTATTTCGAGATTTGCCTTTTCAGCCACACAGCCTTTGTTCACACATAATATTGACCTATAGTGTATACAACCCGTGGCTTGCTGCCCTACCCAGCACACAAACTAACCATGGTTTGCCATCTCAGTCCCTGGATCCCCCTTTGTCTGCCCCCCTTGTATCCCAAATGCCTTTGCCACACTCTAACATTGGCCTGGAAACTGGCTGGGGCGGGGGGGGGGGAGGCAGGCAGAGGGGCCCACTCTTGCCAAGCTCCTCTGTAGCCTCGTGGACCAACCCATGAGCAACCTCTCAGTCCAGAGGGAACACGGGCCAGAAAATCCAGGTTTCACGCCCTAACCACTAACAGTGCAATGCACTCTGTTTCTAGGTTCTTCGTAGTTAACAAATCACAGTTTGGTAGTGAAGCCACATCCAAATACGACATCAATCCAGGATTCCACCCACACCATTGCTTACATTATGAACCAACCAGGCCACAGACTGCAAGCTTCCTGCATCAAGAGACAATGGCAGCTCGCTCGCTGCATCCTGACCAAAGCCCACAAACCACACTCGGGTGCTGGTCGCAGGCACGAGAGCACCCCGCAGGGCCACCGAGTGCTGAAGAGACAGACTCCCCCTTCAGATATGACAGCAAACGTCCTGGCCCATCCTGGAGGAATTTCTCCGCTTGGGACATGCCAGAGCTGTTCCAACCAGATACTGACAGCAATGAAGGGTGGGGAAAGTTTTATGAAAAACCGTCCGCTATTCCGTTTATTTTCCAATGTCTAGGTTTTAGAAATGCATTGTTTCGTGAAGTCCATTTAGCAACTGAATGGCTGAAAATTAGCCATTTCAGTTCAAACTGGGAAGCTGGAATGGACGTATACAGAGCCTGCCAAATCAAAGATCAAAGTTGTAATTAACTTGTTTTTAGGTCATTGCTTCAAAGAAGCACAATTATTTATGGGCACAATTCTCAGGCATGCCAGAAGTGGTATGCTAACAGTTTTCAGAGTCTTCATTGTGTATCAACATCCAAAAAAAAAATTAAGATAATGCGTTGCCTTCAAATACCTAGAAGCATTTCAAGAAAAATAATTTCCATGCAAGCTTTGAATGTGTTTGAAAACAACACTTCAGCTACATTAACAAGGCAAGCCTGTGCAAGTTGCTCTGGAAACTGGTCCTCCCGGCCAGCAAAGCCTTCTCACACAGAAATGTTTGGTCACCAAAACCCTTACTGTATAAACTGTAGTCCTTTCCTGATTTCCTGCAGTCTGAGGCTTCTATCCACGGAAACATTGGACATGTTATCATGAACACCCACTTCTTCAGTATGCAGCTTCTGAAATAGAAATAACAGTCATTTTGCTGCCTTGTAAAACAAGCTGTGAGAAACAATTTATGAAAGGAAACAATGCTACTTATGAAAACGCCCGGCTACAAGCTGGATCAGTTATAACCAGAGTTCAGCATTACAAGACCAGAGTTCGGTGCTACCAGATTAAGCGCTCCGCTTCTCTCTCTGGCACAGCCATGAGGAGCTCAGAAGCTTTTGCTTCTGATTTTCATCAACTGCAGCTTGCCACGAGGTCTGAACTTGGACAGATTATGGTTATTTGTAACTAACGTTAATGAAAAAAATGAAGTTCAAATAGCAGCATATGAAGCTGGCTTGTCTACACTACCCATAGTTAAGATTATCCACAATTTAAACTTCAGACAACACACTAAAATACGGTTCATTTAGAATGAAAGTGGCCATTTCCTCCTTGCAGGTGCACTAGAGGAGGTGGAGCGAGGGAAGCACACGCCTGCAGTGATTCTAGGCTAGTTCTTGGAACACTGAACTATAGTTTGGAGTTATGTCTGAATGCTGCTAAAGTCTTCCCTTTGCAGAACATAAACTATAAAACGTAGCCAGGGAACGGGCCCGTTAAACAGGCTGCAGGCAATTTTAAGGGGGACTTGTGCTGAACACGTGGCACCAGACCCTGGTACAAAATTACCAAATGCACAGTAAGAGGAAGATTTTTTTAAATAAAACAAAAGCAAGCTGTCAGAAATAACTTAAGAACAGTTTCACATATAAAATATCGAATGGCTCTCTTTCCAGTGCAGCCAAACACAGAATTCTAGACATGTGATCAAAATGTCTACAAGGAAACCTAGTACCAAAATGGAATGAACGCTCATTATAGAGGGAAACAATACCTATAATTACACAGATTTAGACAGGAAAATAACCCAATTTCAAGCCGTGAGTTAGAACGGACTGGTCAGGAACCAAAAATAGCTCCTCAGGTATTTGCTTCTACAGAATGGAAGATGTCCGTGCCATCAGCGCTTTCAACTGATTACTTTAACAACACTGAGAAACGTTACACCCGCTCTTCTGCAGGTACCACAACAAGTTCTGGAGCACATTGACATTCCTGCAAAGAGTTCGTAAGTGTAAACGAAGCAGCAGCAAGGACCAGACCCATGACCACAAACTGGACTTCGAGAAAATCTCTGCGGAACTTGGGTGCGTGCCGTAGCTTACAACTGCAAAACATGCACTACCCACGATGATAAAGTCACTAAGCACGACCCAAATGATAAGGGGGGACAACCAAGTGGACGCTGAGAAGAGACGCATCTTACTCCATTGACACAAATATGAATGAAAGATGATTCAGTGCGTGACCCCGAACTCCTGGAGGCCAATCTGGATGGGAACCACAGCATGCAGAAGGAGCTGGACCTGTCCCTTCCCTTCCCACAAGCCTCCACATAGCACCCACACACCAAGCAGAGAAAATAGCAAAAGAACTCCCATTGACGCCAATGGAGTTTTTGTTTGTCTACTATCTCAGCTTGCCACGTTGGCACGGATCGTATAAACTAATGCATTACAAGAAAGTGCAGTTAGGTCCTTGAACAACTTGTCAACAGTCAAGAAGGGAAATCTGTGTGTGATTCAGAAAAAAGTTCTGATATCCTAATAACTAGCTATCATAAAGTTTGAGAGGAACAGAGACAAGTAGCTAATGTGGTATTTATTCTATTTCTTTGAAACTATCAACAAGGTTTACCACTGAATAATATTGAATCATCTGAAATATCACTCTTTCTGGTCATCTTTTAACTTATCACACTTCCTAGACCCAAACAAAATAATCTTATCAGTAAGGAAAAAGCAACTATGAATCACTTCATGTTCTAATCCGCAAAAATGCAAGACTGCAATAAACTTGTGAGCTGTTCAAGGTGACGTAAGAATATTTGTTTTGCTATGAAGCCAAACATTTTCAAATACAGCAGCATAAAACTCAGTTACTTACAATATGGGACCAACAACAGAAACAGAGGGCTCTTAACGCATGTTCATGATTTCCAGGGGACTAACATGCCACCCAAATGGGCCCGGTACCTGAGGCGCGCACGGTTTTTCTTTCCTAGAAGTGCAACCATTTCAAGTTTACTGGCGCAATCAAGACAACTGGATCACCTCAAGGGAAACGAAGAAGCTACTGGATAAACCACCCATTTTCAAAACATTTCTAATAGTCCTATTCTGTCCCATAAGCAAAGCTCTCTGGGGAGGTGAACAACAGGAAAACAGCGTACTGATCCGATCAAAGATCCACATGTATTCAGTTCCATCGGAAACATTCAATGTTAAAACGAACTAAAGGGAAAGACAAATGAGCAACAGCTTTAAGGTGCAGCTTTCTAACCGCATTTCAAAGTCAGTTTTGCTACCTACAATTTGGATTTGTTTGTGCAATCCACTTACAGACGAGCCTTAACGGACGAGGTATGCCGGCCCTCTCTTGTTGCGGGAAAACCTAACAAGCAGCGCAAAAGGCCTACGGCCCGGCAGCGTCTGCCTGCGGATGGGGGAAGCCGTCCAGGGGAGCCCGCTTCCACCGCGCGAAGGGCACGGCCGCATCGCGGAGCGCAGCCCGGCAGCCTCCGGGCGCTGACCCCGCGGTTCTGCCGGCTTCGGCCGCGCTCCTCCGGGCCACAGCGGACGGCTCCCGGCCGAGGGCTGCGCCGCCGGGCCTGGGCTCGCGGGCTGCTTCGGGGGCGGCCCGCGCCCCGGCCTCGGAGCGGCCCCTGCCGCCCGCACCCAGGCCCGGCCCTGCGGGATGCCCGCGGCCCCCGGGCCTGTCAGCGGG